TAAATCAGTGTTTTAGTAAAACAATACATGAGTTGATTCTTAGTCCTTTCTGTGCTTCATATCTTGGTAGTAAAACTAGTAGCTAGGAATAGCTCCACTCCAGAGTTTTAAGCTATTTCCAAAATACTACACCAGTATTCTCATATTCAGCTCGTACATTCAGTCCTAAAAGTCTTCTCTTATCAATATACTGAGATCAGAATGGATAGGTAGTCTACACAGGTATTGCTATTCTCATCTCTAGTCTGTCTCAAAAAGAGAGCACTCTCAATACTGAAACTTAAAATACTTACCCACATGATCCTAAAGCTTATGAATAAGAAAGGAGGAAGAAGAGGCTTACAGCTGGAGCACATGGCCCTTCATGAAAAAAAGAAACTTCATGCAAGAAGAAAGCTTTATAAAAGAGTTACAGGACATATCATCTATTCTCAGCAGCAGGCAGAAGAAATTAGAAAGCAAAAAATTAGTTAGAAGTATCTTAAATAGCAAATTCTTGCAGATTTTCTAGGGAGCAAAAGCATCACTATTTTATATGAGAAAAGTTCTGAAAGTTCCATTGAGAAGACACAAATAGTACCTTGTATAACTTACTGATAAAACATATTTCCATTTACTATCATTATCTAAACAACTGCAGTAGCATTTTATCTTACAAAACAACAGAAAATATAATTGCTGAGATACAGCCTATTTAAAGTATGTTTATTTGTGTGGAGTTCTTGAGAAAACAGGCATAGCTTCTAATGAAGCCCCATGTTGATCTGCCACAATTATAAGAAATTGAGACACCATCCCCTACCTACACACAGGAAACAGAAAAGGATGATAGTGCCAGGAAGCAGTGACCTATTTTTTCTTTCTGCAAGAAACTTAAGCAAAAAGAAAATTGAAGTAATTTTGTTTTAGCAATAATTTTAACAATAGCACCTGTCTGAAATTAAAGAAATCCTGTTCATCTTGTTAAAATATTTAGAACTTTAAAGTGGATGTTCTTGAATATATCCATTTATTTTTGTATTATTCAGAGATTTTGTGTAAAAATCCACACAAGCCTTAATTTTCTGTGATTCTTTATTAAAATTTTCAATAATCAATCACATACATACACTTGCACAATGGTATTAGTTACCAGGCTTCATTCTAATGATCTTCAGATCTTTTTTATCTTTTTTTTTTTTTTTTGTCCTGGTTTACCATGACTTCACTCAGATTTCATGTTTCAGAATATTTTCTCTGGAAGAACTTACACATTGAATGAACTGAATACCTAAGAGTAACGCAATCCTATCGGTCATGAAAGACCAAGAGAAAAACTTGTATCGCATTACAGTCAGTAAGTTGGAAAAAGTAAGAACATTTGTAAGAATCTCAAGGGTCAAAAGACTAGATTCACATGAACAGAGATTTTTAAGTGACAGCTGAAATGCATAAATAAAAATTGTAGGATTCATTGAAACAGTTCCTGTACTCTATAAAGTTGCATGAAATCTTGGCTGAGAATCTAATGGGATTCTCCAACAAGATGTTTCAAGTATGTTTAGAAAATCATGGTCATGAATACCAATATGTATAAACCCACAAGAGTTATATTCAGCCCGGAGAAGAGAAGGCTGAGTGGATACCCCATAGCAACCTTCCAGTATCTGAAGGGGGCCTATAAGAATGCTGGGGAGGAACTCTTCATTAGGGACTGTAATGATAGGACAAGGGGTAACGGGTGCAAACTTAAATAGGGGAAGTTTAGATTGGATATAAGGAAGAAATTCTTTCCTGTTAGGGTGGTGAGGCACTGGAACAGGTTGCCCAGGGATGTAGTAAATGCTCCATCCTTGGCAGTGTTCAAGGCCAGGTTGGACGAAGCCTTGGGTGACATGGTTTAGTGTGAGGTGTCCCTGGCCATGGCAGGGGGGTTGGAACTACATGATCTTAAGGTCCTTTTCAACCCTAACTATTCTGTGATTCTATGATTCTATTTATCAAGCTAGTGAACATAGAGCAGGATCTCTTACTGTCTCCTTCTGGTTACTAGAATAAAGTATTCCCCTCATTTAAGAGATTCTGGAAGTTCTTAGTACTTCCAGTTTTGAAGCTGAACAGATCCACAGTGAGGATTTAGATGGATACTAATGTATGCTTTGATACAGACTTTTAAAAGTAAATACTTATTCTCTCTCTGGCATATCTGGGAGCAAAATATGGCAGTTCTTTGCTTAGCAAGTAAATTAATTTCTTTATTACTTCTATTGCTATAACTGTTGAGAACCCTCTGTGTGAAGTCAGTTGTTATTGTGTTTAGGCATTGTATACATTTGTATGAGACAACAGTCAGAAATAAAGGTATAACAGGAGACAAAGCATGCAGTTATCTCAACATATTAGCAGTCTAACACTTGCCAGGAATTTTAGGTGTGGTGGCAAAGAATTTTAAGTATCAGTACAAGAAAGAAGAGACAGACTGAGAGAGCAGTTCTGTAATTTTCATAGCGGTGTTTATCCAAAGTGTTGCAAGACCATAGCGTCAATTATGAGAAGTGGTCACAAAAGACATGGAAAGCCTTAGACGATGTTTACATGACTGGGAAGACCTTGATAAGAAATAAAACCAGAAAAAAGTAAGCAGTTTATGCTGGTGCAACAAAAGAACAGGATAAGGACAATAGATAGAGGCTTTTGATATAGGAAAACAGTTGGGAGGGGAGTTGCCTTTGCCGCAATATTGTAAATTTTTAAATTAGACTAGATTGAATTCATTAGAGATGGACTGATTTCAGAAAGGCCAGGAGAAGGTTATGACCAATGAGGTTATTCCACCTTTAACAGTTGCCTAATGTCTCTTTCTCCTCATTCACTATGAAGGAGAATGCTTTGGATAACCAGTGTCCTCTCTTAGTCACCTCAATTTGCTTGCCTTGAATCTTTCTCCAGCAATGAATATATCTAAAGACTGTGAGTAAAACACAATTGCAATTACCTGCAATGAAAAATCATGGCAGTCAGGTGAAGTTCCTAATGACTGGAAAAAGGGAAATATAACCCCCATTTTCAAAAAGGGGAAAATGGATGACCCAGGGAGTTATAGCCCAGTCAGTCTCACCTCTGTGCCTGGCAAAATCTTGGAGCAGATTCTACTGGAAGGAATGCTAAGGCACATGAAAAACAACAAGGTGCTTGGTGACAGCCAGCATGGCTTCACTAAGGAGAAATCCTGCCTGACCAATTTGGTGGCCTTCTATGATGGGGCTACAGAACTGATGGACAGGGGTAGAGCAGTTGATGTCATCTACCTGGACTTGTGTAAAGCGTTCAACACTGTCCCACACGACATCCTTGTCTCTAAATTGGAGAGACATCAATTTGATGGATGGACCACTTGGTGGATAAAGAACTGGCTGGATGGCTGCACACAAAGAGTTGTGGTCAATGGCTCAATGTCTGGCTGGAGACCAGTAACGAGTGGTGTCCCTCAGGGATCAGTGTTGGGACCAGTCTTCTTCAACATCTTTGCTGGTGACATAGACAGTGAGATTGAGTGCGCCCTCAGCAAGTTTGCCGATGACACCAAGCTGTGTGGTTTGGTTGATACTCTGGAGGGAAGGAATGCCATCCAGAGGGACCTCGATACGCTTGTGAGGTGGGCTGATGCCAACCTTCCAAAGTTTAACCATGCCAAGCACAAGGTCCTACACCTGGGTCGGAGCAATCCCAGGCGCAGCTACAGGTTGGGCAGAGAAGAGATTCAGAGCAGCCCTGCGGAGAAGGACTTGGGGGTGTTGGTTGATGAGAAAATGAACATGAGCCGGCTTCAGTGTGTACTTGCAGCCCAGGAAGCCATCCGTATCCTGGGCTGCCATCAAAAGGAGCATGACCAGCCGGTGGAAGGAGGTGATCCTGCCCCTCTACTCTGCTCTTGTGAGACCTCACCTGGAGTATTGTGTGCAGTTCTGGTGTCCTCAACATAAAAAGGACATGGAACTGTTGGAATAAGTCCAGAGAAGGGCCATGAGGATGATCAGGGGACTGGAGCACTCCCTGTATGAAGACAGGCTGAGAAAGTTGGGGCTGTTCAGTCTGGAGAAGAGAAGGCTGCATGGAGACCTCATAGCAGCCTTCCAGTATCTGAAGGGGGCCTATAGGAATGCTGGGGTTGGACTCTTCATTAAGGACTGCAGTGATAGGACAAGGGATAATGGGTTCAAAGTGAAACAGGGGAAGTTTAGATTGGATATAAGGAAGAAATTCTTTCCTGTTAGGGTGGTGAGGCACTGGAATGGGTTGCCCAGGGAAGCTGTGAATGCTCCATCCCTGGCAGTGTTCAAGACCAGGTTGGACGAGGCCTTGGGTGATATGGTTTAGCGTGACAGGGGGGTTGGAACTTGATGATCTTAAGGTCCTTTCCAACCCTAACTATTCTATGATTCTATGATTCTAAATCTGCCATATTCTATTCCAATATGAAAGAAAGAACTGTCTTGATTGATGTTCCAAGAGTGTGTCTTTAAAAAAAAATAAATACATGAAGTGTGAAGTTTATATTCACATCATTAAAGCTCTATTAGAGCGAAGCCATTTTTTAAACCAGTACATCTTCAGAATGAGCAGAGCTCTAAGCAGTATTCTGCCAGATGCTCTGGAAGAATACCCAACTTTCATTATATTTCTTTATAAAAACTACAGTTTCATGGGATCCAAGTTCACTACTGACTAGATTACTTTTACAGACCTCAGCTGGAGTAATTCAGCTGTGTGCCCAAGATGACTGGAGGGTCAAGAAGGGAGGAATGCTTCCCAAGGCTGAGGAATGATAATATAACTTCTGTACATTTCCATTTTACCCCTGAGGATAAATAATCTTCTGAGACCAGGGTATCATCTTCTTAAGATCCCTGAAACAAGTGGGCTCTTTTTCCAATAATCCTATTCTGCTAAACATTAGTAACCCAGCTGCAGCTGGTCTTCTTAGCTTCCCCTCACACTCAGGTGGTGCTACTGCCAACATCCCAGAGGCAAGACGGAAATAGAACTGATCAAACAGCAGCAAGTGCTAAGCTGTGATAGATTGGAGAAGAAAGAAGTGAGAAAGGAGGGATGCTGTCCCTCCGGCTCAGTCTTTTAATGTGATTCCAGGATCCCTGCTGCTTACAACAGGTATATCCTGCTACATAATACACATTGTCTTGTATGCTGTATAAAGACCATTTGAAGTATCTGCTTGAAAATCACTTAATTTAAGTCACACTTAAATCTTTACCTATTATACGGCCTTTTAAAAAGTGAGTAATAACTGAGTAGACACCAGGAGAAATGTTTCTAAATTATTTTAGCTCATTCATAACCACTCTGGATCTCCCTATGAAAGCCAGCTGCAGAGGCAATCATTTGGAAACTGCACTGTTCCATAACCTGTGCATATCGCTTCCCATTAAGATATGAAAGCTAGCTATCTACTTATGTCAGAGCCTAGAAGTCAATGCAACTTTAAATTGGTGCTTAATATTCACAAATTCCTGTATTAGCATGCAAGAACATAAGCTGTTGACTTCCCCCCCCCCTTTTATTTTTATTATTTTAGATTTCTTCTGAATGCAAACAGTCTCTCTGCACAGGATGTAAATTATTATTACAATGAAAGCAGCCAGAAGGACAGAAGCTTGGAAATGATTTTGCTTCTGAGCAGTAGGAGATTGTTCAGGTCCTGCTGTTTTGAAAACCTTCTTCCCCCCACGCAGGCTACCCTGTGAAGAGAAAGCTGTTTGAATATTTTGGCAATCAGAGAAGGCCCCAACATAAATTATGGATACAGAAACTCAGAAGACATTCTAACAAACAGAATACTATGGAATCCATTTTTCAGCCACCATATGGTGTCAACAGAATGCTTCTTCAGTTTTTTTTGGGTAACAGCTCATCATTAAAGAAATAAACAGGCTGGTTTTTTTTTGGTGAGCAGAGGATCTACAGTCATTATACTAAAAAAAATAACAAGTAATATATTGGTGTATTGCTTCTTTACCATCTTTTTTCCATGGGTGTATATACGTAGGTATTTAGTTGTTTCCCTTTTTAAGCAAGATCAAGAAAGGGACTGTCATTGAAGCTCAGATGTTTTAATTTTCTGATATTTTTTAAATATGAGAAAAGTTATTCGAACTTCTTTATACCATTACACTTGTTGCAGGTTATATAAAAGTAATTTTTTAAAAAACTAAACTTTGCTTTCTTCTCAGCCACACTGTTCATGTATTTCGCTTTTATCCCAGAGTATTGTAATCAAAGATGAGACCATTTTGGGGGTTTGGTGTTCATTTATGAAAAAAAAACCTGGACTGAAGAGTGTACTTATCTCTCAACTTGGAGAAGATTTTGTTTGCATTGAGAGAGTTTCCTTCATAATATCATCTGACTTAAATCAAATTTCCTACCATTAAGTGAAAAACTTAAAAAATAGATCAGTTTTTACCATAGCTACATGGACATTTAATCAACTTTCATAATTTTCCATTCATTCTAAGCTAACCCTAAATTGAATTATCAGTTTAGTCTTTGCTTTTCCTGTATTGAACGTAAAGGAGATGTTCTTGAAGGCCTACCCTAAAAAAAGCTCAAAAAAAACAGTATGTCCTTCCTTCTCATTCTCAGGTTTTCTATACTCCCATCTTATTTTGCTGGCTATCCTGTAGTCAGGTCATGAATTGGGTCTTTGAGTTGGATTTTCAGACTCATGATAAAAAATTAGCTCTAATAGATTGCAAAGTTACAAATAAAAAAGTATGAATTTCCTGTAGACTCCAGTTTTTGAATAAGTCAATGATCTGAACAGGTAGTGGTTTACTAGGACTGGAGGCTAAAGCTATTCCTGTTGCACTTTATTTTTTTCTTTCCTGTCCCATACTAAGTGTACATTGAAAGATCTCTTGGCTCTTTTGTTGGCTTTCTGAAACTCTACTTTTTTCCTTCAATACTAGCACATTTTGTATTAAACAGAAAAAAAAAAAATCATGAAGAGATGGAATAAGCCATACCTGCAAGCTGCCAAAACAATGATCCTGAGTCCATTTACAATGATAGCAGTTTGTTTCTGTGTGGAAAAAATATGAATTTGTCAATAGGCTTGTGCATTTTCTTCCTTCCTCATGGAGGAAAACAACATAAATATTGCTCCTTCCGCTTCATAGATGACAGCAGGAAAGAAATCATAAAGTATGTAGAGCAGCTTTTCTTCCTGTTTCAGGTTAGTTTAACCTCGGTAGAATTTGTGTAATGATAAAACAACACTAGACTCCATCTTTGTAGCTAAAGATAACACTCTTAAAAACAGCAAGACACAAAAATCAACTATTTGGAGTTACAGAAATCAGGATTATGTTCTATGTTAATCCAGTATTTAATAAGTTAGGAATGGAATAAACCTACTAAGCCATTCTCTCAAGGCAAACTTTTTCTCGAATGTATTGTCCAATGCGTTTTCCAATCCAGTTGTAAAAAGCTATTGATGATATGTAATTTCTTGTAGGGGATCTGTTATTAGCCCAGGATATATCACAGCTAGGAAAATTTTGTTATATCTCTTCTGCTCAGTGGGACATTTTTCCCCCAAATTACCTTCAGCAAGTTTCCATAGTTAGAGTAGGTATTCCTCTTTTTAATTTATTTAATCTAGCCTTTTTTCTTTCTTTCTTTTTTTTTTTTTTTTTTTCTTCCTTCCATGTGAGAGCAAATAAGTGGAAACCAAATTCAAACATGCTGGCTATAAGCACAAGTCTTTTTCTTTGCTGATATTCTATGTCTGAATTTCATACAATCCAGATATGCTTGTCTGGTCACAGCTGTCTTTCTTTCATTTGTGTCTGACTGGATAAGTATGAATTAGAATAATATTTATGAATAGCTGCTGAGCTTTATTATTTGTATAACAAAGACACTATGAAAGATATCTTGCAAAAATTGTTATCATATCTTTGGCTTCATAAGGTAGCAGCAAATGTGATGAAGCCCTGACAGTTTTGTTTGGATTGTATGTCCAGATACAGAAAGTACAGCAACACTTTCCTCTAGGAAATTCCCTATTATCAGCTAGGGATAGAGATACAGTAGGGAAGGCCTGGAAAAGAGAATGTTGCAATGTGTGTGTATAAATATATATCCACTGGGGAATTTGAGATCACTATGATGGGAGTGCTTTAGAAGACTGATAAATCACTCCACTTACAATCAAATCTTTGCTGAATTAATTAATTCATTAACAGCACATATGTTTACTCTTACACGTTACTAATTTTTAACACCATACAAAACTATTAGTCTTTAGTACCTATACCCTAAATTAGAGATGAGTGCCACCACCACAGTCATATAGTTAGCACTGATGGCTAAGGGCACTGACAGTCTTGGTAGCTGAGATCAGACTTCAGAGCTCATTGATGAAACAAATCAGAATTAAGTCAGACTGATCTTCTTTCACGTCATGACATTTTTGCTAGTGCCCCCTTCCCAAAAGGAGCAGTCTCATCTACCTTATCTGCTCCTGATACTGCTTATCTTGGGTTTGGGTTTTGCCAGTCATCTTTCTTTGTTTAATAGAATGTCCTGTTTGCAATTACTTGAGCTTTCCTTGTCCTCTGTCTAGCAAATTATCACTATTTGGCTGTCTCCTGCCAGCAGCTACATTCATCCTCCCTTGCCCCTTTGGTGGGCACATAGCTTAAATAGTTATGTAAAATGTTTATGTGTTATGTCTGTCTATGCCACCACAGTGCTACAAAATACATACTTGTTTTCAAAGTATTTTACTATGCTTATGTTCAGGTTTAAAGAAAACTAATATTTGTTACATTCTGATCTACCATCTGTTTTGATATCATCTGATCTGACATGTCTTTTGGCTGAAGAGGCAATGCAGTTTGCCTTCTTCTTGAAATAAAATAGGAAGAAGTATTAATTTTACAATCTGACCTAAGATTCCCTACTTGAGATGATGAGAAAGTATCCCACCCAAATTTACTTGCCTACTGAAAGACCTGAGATAAGATCCTAATTCCCTAAGTTCTGCTCAGTAGTGCCAAGAGTGATCTGGAACCAATTGCTCTCCATTAGCAGCAAAGAAAACCATAATAATTAGGCTTCCTACAAAGACAGCTCAATGAAGAATATAAAGTTACTTGAGATGAACTCAGATCTAAGGTCTTAATCATGTTCACTGATTTTTTTCTTTTATAGAGCTGAGCACTTTCAAGCAGAAGCAATTATTTCTTAAGCAATAATAATTATTACAAAGCTGCAAAGAGCTCAAGGCATGTTTCTTAGAAGATATACAGTGCTGTAAATATTGCTGTTAGTTTACCGTTTCATATCTAATAAAAATCGCTGTGTTTTATCTGGCAATTTATGATGTGAAGGGAGAGAGAAAAGGGTCTATATGTGGCTACTACACTCTTTAAATTAATTTTTATGGTGCTCTCAGAAAGTTATTGTTATCCATTCCACCAATAGAGAAATGAATTATGAATAATGCGTAGGAACCTTTTTACTGTTTACAGGGTTTCAGACTTTAAAGTTTACACCCTGGTAAGCCAGTATATCAATTTAATTAGGTGCTTTGAGTAATTTACCCAAGTAAGTTATTTAGTCATAAGTCTTTAGTCCTCAATCTTCTCCTGATTAGAAGAATGATTAATCTTCAGTTGCTTAAAAAGCCTTTAGCAAGGAAGTAACCAACCACAGTTTTTGCTGATGTTCCCTTTTCCATTTATATTCTGAACATGGGAAGTAGGTGGAGATGAGCTGCTTGACATTTTGTTTATTGGACTATATTCTGTGTTCCATAATTGCTAAATTTCCTCATGTCATGCTTCAAAGGTGGGTAGTTTTATGGTATTCCCTGTTTTGATGATATGCCAGTTGGTACAGCTCAGTGCATTTTGGAGCACTATAAAATTGGAGTTCATGGAACAACTGGTTTTCATTTCAGCCCCTCTTTTCTCACAGCCTGCTGCTTTCTCCTTGCTGTTATGAAGTTCAGTCTTCATGTGAAATTGTACTTCTACATTTTTGTAACACGCACACACACACAAATACATAATCTCTCCATTAAAAATGTGGGTTTAAAGCCTCTTTTCCCCCTTGCTCTTCCTTGAAGGAATAAACACCTGGTACTTTTCTGCTCTCTGCCTGTTTTGTTTCTCAATTTTGGAACTACAGCAGTGGTTTCCTTCTGCCCTAGAAGTAGGGGTTGCAGCCTGCACAATCTGGAAAAGCTGGCAGGAAAGTAAAGATCAGGCCTCTGGCTTGTGTTGACCATGCAAGTCTCCCTGAAGGGGTTTTTTGGAGGGCGTCAGGAGGAGAGCTACTTTCCACTAGGAAGGAAAAAGCTATGTATGTGTCACCAAGGATTTCTGTCCTGATTTGACACCTCTCCATGACCACACCATGCTCCAGCCTGCTTCCTGACACCAGTGGTGTGTTTGCATGCCAGGCAGCCATACTACATATCACAACTATTGGCCAGTGCCAGCAGCACTTTGCAACAAACGTGAACATGCCTTTTCTGCCAGGATCTGAGACATTCTGTCTGTGCACACCACTCTAAATGTAGCTGATGTCAGAGGAGGAAAAGGGGTGCCTCACACAACTTCTTCACTGTCAGTCAGAAAGTAATAACCAAGAATTAAGGTCTTTGCATTTTAAAAATAATGGGAGAAAGAATATGGCTAAAGCCCAAATGTCACTCTCCTGTCACTTCTCTCAGGGTAGGAAAAGTCTCTTGTTGATTCCTCATTTTGAGTTATACTCAGGTTCAGCAATTTTAAGTCATAAAAGTTTATAAAATATTTTTATACACTGACTAGACTGGCTCTTATTTCATGCACTACATTTTAGCTGAACCAGATTAATTTAACCTATGTTTGTGGCTGCCCATTTTTTAGACTGCCTTCAGGATGCTACTTTACCAGATTTAAGTAAAGCAGTGAATTACGAGCAAATTTTGGTCTGGCACTATTTTGCTTGCCCTCAGGTTAGTGGCACTGATTAGAAACATGTCTTAAAGTTGCATAAAATGCTAACTTAAGCATTTTTATCTCCTCTCCTTTGTACAATACTGCTCTAGGCTTAAAGCAGTAATTGCATAGAGTAGAAATAGAGTAATAGGATCATAGAATGGTTTGGGTTGGAAAAGACCTTAAGATTATCTAGTTCCAACCCCCTTGCCATGAGCAGGGGTGCCTCACGCTAGATCATGTCTCCCAACCTGGCCTTGAACACTGCCAGGGATGGAGCATTCACAACTTCTTTGGGCAACCTGTGCCAGTGCCTCAACACCCTCACAGTAAAGAACTTCTTTATATCTAACCTGAAATTCACATCTTTAAGTTTAAATACCTGTTGCCATGCTCATTTTCTGCACATGTGCCACAGTGGAAGCTCTGTAAATCTGCTTTGGGTTTTGTAATTTATTATTTATTTCAAGGCATTTAGCCTTCACTGTGTATCACTTACCGTGTATCCTCCCCACTTCCCTCTTTTTAGCTCATTCTCCCTATTTCCTTATGTACTGCAAGTTCCTTTTGACCTCCTTTACCCCTCCCTCCTTTTTCCTTATCTGTTATTTCTTTTCCTCCACTGCAAAGCATTGTCTTTCTGCTTTTCTGTTACCTTCCCTCCCCTTATTTTTGGTCATGTATTGCAGTTGACACAAACCTGGTGTTTCCAAAATGACAGTCTAGCAGAATGCCTCTTTCCCCAGTTACCTCTGTTAACTAAGGAAAGAGGAGAGGGAATTAGCTAGGCCACTAAATTTGAAGCTGTTTCAGAATAGCCTTTTCCTTATATATTCCAGAAGATACTGCTGCTGTGGGAGGAAGACAACTGTGATTTTAGAATACAGTGAGTGTAATGATGAAGTAACATCTTTTCTAAGCTTTGCCAAACAATACCTCATTACATTTTCCTCTCATTTAGCATGTTTATCATGGCATGCATGATTTAACATCAGTAAATAAATTGTTATCAGAAAAAGTGCTTCTGTCCAGAGTTTTGGTAGTTTTAAGCAGCTTGTGGTGAGTTACACTACCTGAGCAGTCTTCTCCATCTCCTTGGTATAGACTGTTCCCTGTAAAGGGAACCATACATGGAATAAGCTTGGATTAGCAAAACTTTTGACAAAACTGCTGCTTTCTGTGCCTCACCTGGGCACATATTTGTAAGGATATGTAAGGGACTGATTTAGAATTAATCTAGTATTTTCTCCCAATTAAGAAAGAAAAAAATATAAAATTCAGTATTAATTCTTCTTCATTAAGATATACCACAGTCACAGAACCATAGAATCACAGGATAATTGGAAGAGATGTTGAGGATATCAACTGTAAGGTCAGAACAGATTGCTCTGGGGTTTATATTAAAAAATGAAAAGGTTGAAGGCTGCACAGCCTCTCTGGATAACCTGCTTCACTGCAAGCCATTCTTGTAAGAAGAAAATCCAAAACCAAAAAACAAACAAAACCAAACAAACAAAACCCCACCAACATGCAGCAAAGATGAAAAAGTTTTTCCTTAAATCAAATCTGAACTTCTCTTTTTTTTCAGCTTAGGTTTGTTGTGTCTCATCCTCATGTCATGCCCCACTGTGAAGAGCCTGGCTCCATCCCCTGCTTTTTCTGCAGAGCTGCCCCCCAGTTTCAGCCTGGATAGGTTCAGGGAGTTACTGCTTCCCAAATGCAGTTCTTCTGCACTTTTCTTTGGGTCTTCTCCTGTAATGGAGATGAATATTCTTACTGTCTTAAACCAAGCCATAATATCTGATGACTGTGCTTACCTTGCTTCTAAACCAGTTTTTATCTGCTGCTAGATTTTGCAATATGCATCATGAATGATGACTCAAGTTCCTTGCACTTCTCTCTCTGGGACTTCACACAAAGAAATCTAAATATTTCTCATGTGCATACCTGTTTAGTGAGTAAACTTTCTTTTCTTTTCCTTAGTACCGTGGTCATTAATCTTTTTTCTGATCTTCAGAATTTTTATTTTAAAATTAGTTGTTTTCTTCTCTTTCATGACCAGTCAACTCTTTATAGTCAACTCTTCTTCTCATTACAGAAATCTCTCATAGGAAAGGGAAAAGAGTTTTGTGGCAACTTCTCTGACATTATAATTTTTTATAATTACTTTAAAACTTACTTTTCCCCTCACCAGCTGGACTAGTTCATTTCCACTGACAGTTAAAAGATATTAGAAAAAAATTGTTTTTTGTCATTTCTGCCAATCTTCTCCTTGAAATACCACAGATAAAGAAGAACTCCTGCAAAGTTTGGTTTGTTTTATCTTTACTACACATTCATAACTTTGGATAACATAGCAGGCACTGCAGTGGTGGAAAAGGCAAAAGCTTACCCGAAGGTCTCTGTAAGTCTTCAGATTCTATTTTCAGTTGTGATTAGTACACCACTGACATTCAGTAAAAGCAATAAATGAATTTTCTTCTATTATACACTTTTCTGATGCATTCACGCAAAAAAAAAAAAAATAATAAAAAAAAACAACTGAAAAACCATCAGTGCCCCATGTTACTTCCCTTCTTTGATACACATCCCTTTGGTTTCCAGAGTTAGGGACATCTATATATTACACCCACTTTTTTTTTTTTTTCTCTTGATAATGTTACTCTTACAGAAACAATAGGGCTTCTATCAGCTCTGATCTACAGATAAACAAAAAGTTCACCAGTTCTGATGTAATTTCACTTATCTGAATCAGATCTGTTACCAGATTTTATCTCCTCTTCTTCAGTGATTTACATTTGGCTTTGATTCAGATTTAGGTTATGCTCCCTACTGCTCTGATAAGGCTACTAATTTTTAGTTATGCTCATCACTGGTACTGCTAGATGTTAAAAAATTCTTCCTACATTTTTTGTCCCATTGTCTAGAGTATCTCATCTGTGCAGGAAGCATCTAGGAGACTTCTCCTGAAGTGCTGTTTTCCAAAGGTAGTGTTGAAATGCCTGTTTTTAGCCAATCCAGGCTGACAGGATGCCTTGTGATATCAAATATTCTGAATATGCCTTGCCATTAAAAACTCATATGCAGCTTGTTAAAATGAGAATGGCAAATGGATGGCTGACATTGTCTTCCTCACAGTCAAAAAGCCAAATCCATCCCACTGTAATGCAGCTTTTCAGTGCTACAACATAGGAATAAAAGCTTTTCTGAAATGCTTCAGGTTTCTCTTCATTCTTGTCATGAACATCAGCTGGTCCATTTTTATGGTCCCACCATCTCTTCAGTGACATACAGAGCTGTAGGCACTGGAAATCCTTTTCCCTTCTAGTATTACTATTTGGGGCAGTTTTTCCTGACATTACTGTTTCACACTTAAAAGGAACAGATTCCTTTTATATACCACCAGTTTAACTGTTAGAGAAATATTTTTGCATTTTTAGCATCATGTTTTAGAAATGCATTTATTTTACTCTGTCTGGTGGAAACGGTTAAGGTGTGATCATTTCTTAATGTACATACTTCTGGTCCTTCTAAAATGCACCTCATCACAGTATTTTCTTTTTGGAACTTCTCTGGGAGAATTTGATCTTTCTCAGCAAACTAAGGAGACTTTTAAGAAGACCAGCTTTTCATCCTGTTTAGGTTAGCCCAGCATACAAAAAAATAAGTCACTGTCCTTTGAAGAAACAGATGAAGATTTGAACCAATCTTAAACTGCAATGGTCCTAAGTCCAGATTTCCAATGCCTCTATCACAATTTTCTCCATTATCATAAAATTTGCCCCCCTAGTCTATAGAGATAGACTAGTACTATGACTCTGGTGCCAACCTGTTACTTTAGTATCAGGAGGCAAAGAGGAAGGGAAAAATAGAACAAGACTCATTTTATTTTTTATTTTTCCCTCTGTAAAAAGTACGCTTAAAAAAAAAACATAAAAGCCTAAGGGCCATATCTCATTCTGTAAAGAGTTCCCTAAGGATGTCCCTGCCTGTGGTAAATTACATTATTGTGTGGTGAGCCATAAAGGAGCAAAAGGGTGAAGAGCAG